GGCGGGCCGCGCCTGGTGATCGGTTCGCTCCCGGCCCACCTTTCCCCGCACTTGTTTGGAGGTACGGCCCCCTGCCCCGGCAGCAACCCCTCCGCCCCCCTGCCACGAGGTGAATGGAACAAGAATTGTTTTAAAACAAACTGACGAGACAGCCTCGTGGTTGTAGTTTTTAGTACCAGGAAGTTAGGGGTGATCGGTGGTTGGGTTATAGTTCTGCTCGGGAGCTGAAGGGCGAGCGATTTTAAAGGCCCAAAGCCAGAAGGGACTCACGTGGATGTTTGAGTGTTTGAAAAAAGGAAGTTATCTCTCCTTGTATCGACTCCTAACAAAGCTGCAGTCCTTGAGCGTCCGTAAATGGCTCTACATACTTACTGGGTACATGTTATTTGGGTGTATGTGTTAACGGGAAGTGTTCTTTATCCCCCCCAGGAAACTGCTACTTTATATGTGGCTGATGTCAGTACTGTTTGGTTTGAAGCTGATTGTGGAAATGTTGAAAAGCAGTTATTTAAGGAGATAATCTTTACAGTGATCACAACCCGGCCCACAGAGGCAGTAATTGGTCAGGGTCTTTCGAAAAGCCGTGCTGACTAGAGTTAAGGAAAAATTTAGAGGTCAGGTCCGTTGTTTGAAACAGGAGAAAGGGTGCACTTTGTGAAAATGTGCACTCAGACCGCATATTCCCACCTCCTTGCGTTATATGTCTGGCATTATACATTCATATTTGTGCACAGACTGATGTAAAATTCGACCCTTCTGTTTTAAAGACCCTATTCATGTGTTCATAAATGTAGAAATTCGGTTAAGTGGAGTGTTCACTGATCTGTGTTCTAAAGCAGTCAGACTCCAGTGTTAGTTCAAAAATGTCAGGTGTAGTTTCCACCATCTTAATGATATTTTGCACGTTTGGTATGAAAGCACTTAGCTTTCAGCTACCTTCATTGTTTTTTAAAGTATTTTTTGTTTGCGAGGTTCTGGGACTCTAACCTAAGTAAGTTACTGAGCTTGTTAGGCAAGCTCTTTACCACTGAGCTGAACACCTAGCCCTCCACTTAAATAGCTTGCTTGCTTTATAGTAAGTTTTGCAACGCCAATAATTATAGCAGTGTTTCCTAGAATTGGGGCACCTTTAAGTCTTGTTTTTGGAGAAAAGAACTGATCATGTCCATACTGTGATTTGAGACATTGTAGTTTCTTGAAAATTGGAGAGTAATGCTACATTTTAAGAATATGTATCTTTTTAAAATGAAGTTGTCATTAAGCAGTTACGATCGTCAAAAGTATAAACAAGAAAAGGGAATAGGAAAAGTCTTTAAGTGAATAGTTAATATCCTCACTACCACTTTGATTCAGTTTTTCTCTGGGCTGGTGATTTCTCTTTGACAAGAGTCAGTATGTATGTCTTTATTTTGTTAAAGTAACTATTCAGAGCAGGGCAGATAGTTGGCCTACCTGCTATTAATTCCTAATAAATTGGCAAGACCTATTTGCCAAGAGTTGGAATGCAAGCTTTTTGTTTGTTTGTCTGTTTGTTTTTGTTTTTTTTTTTTTTGAGACAGGGTTTCTCTGTATAGTTTTGGTGCCTGTCCTGGATCTCACTCTGTAGACCAGACTGGCCTTGAACTCACCGATTCACCTGGCTCTGCCGCCTCAGTGCTGGGATTAAAGGCGTGCGCCACCACCGCCCACCACCGGCCGGCAGTTTGTTTACTTTTTTAAACTTAATTCTTAGATTTGTGTATGTAGTTCTTTAGTAGTCCTGTGGAGTAGGAAGACGGGTTTGGTAGCAAGACAGTGACATTGAGGAACCTAGGGCAACTTTTCTCATCCAGCTCTGGTGAGGCTGAGTGCTAGGCAGTCCTAAGTCTTCAGCTGTGTGGAACGGCTTTACCTTTTTTTCTGCAGTTCATTCTGAACCATTAGAATATGAATTGTTCTTGGGAAATTTGAGAAAAATAGTCACTCATTTTTCTGTGTTCCTGATTCTTGTGAGAAACTTCAGTTGATAAAGACCTAAAGAAGACCAGAAATGGCCTGTGCTTATGTGAAAAATTCAGTGACCTTAAAATCCTTGTTGAGAGAAAAATAGTGAAGTCCGCCCGTCCTTAGTAGCTTTCCAAGTGAGACTCGTACCTGTATGTCCGTGAATGGGGTCATGAGAAAAAAAAACTTAAAGAAGCACGTTTCTAATTAAACTGAGATGGAGGGTGTAGCATGAAAATTAAAGGGTCTTAATAATAAAAACAAACCTGGAGCCAGGTGTTGGGGTGAACGCTGGAAGATCAGAGAAGCAGAACAAGCCACAGCTTCCTCACCTTGCCAGTTCCTCAACTGATTCTGTTTGCTCAGACTGGAAGCTTCTGTGTCCTTATCCAAATGGATCTTAGCTGAACTGCTGCTCAAAACCTAAAAGCTTAACCAGTTAGTTCCTGGTCCTCATGCCTTATACACCTTTCTGCCATCACTTCCTGGGATTAAAGGCTCTTGTTACCATGCCTGGCTGTTTCCAGTGTGGCCTTGAACTCACAGAGATCTGGATGGATCTCTGCCTCCAGAAGGCTAGGATTAAAGGTGTGTGTGCCACCATTTTCTGGCCTCTGTATCTAGTGGCTGTTCTGTTCTCTGACCCCAGATAAGTTTATTAGGGTGCACAATATTTTGGGGGACACAATATCACCACAGGAGGGAGCAAGATGTGGAGTCTTAAATAATTAGACTTGATTCTTTAAATTGACTTCATTTTTATTATGTCTTATACCACTGTGTTTATTCAGTTACAGTTAAAGATTGGGCCTTTGCAGTGTTTGTGAGTTTTGAATTGTTAGGGCATACATAACGGACTCCATCTGGAAATGGAGAAAAAGAGCATTTCTAAATTAATGGGAAGTACTTGTAACTATATATAAAACATTGATGTTTGTATTGTTTCCTAAGCAGAAAATATAGTTCTAAAAATAATAACATTCCTTTGTAGACTCTCAATGTTATGTATTGGAAGAGAAAACCTAAACTATTAGTCTTTAAATTGCTTTACTCTTAGGAGTGTGGCAAGTAGATTTGTAAGCTGCTCAATCGCAATGAGTTACCAAATTGAATGAGGTTTTCTGTGATGACTTTTGAGTATTGCTTTCTTTGGGATGTATATTTTGGCTGCACAGTTCAGTTTTTCAAGACAGCATTTCTCTGTGTAGCTCTGGCTGTCCTGGAACTTACTATGTAGACCAAGCTGGGCTGCATACATTCTTAATTCTCTCTAGAGAATTAAATAACTAGAAGGGAGGTGTATAACCCAGATATTTCGGCTTGTAGGCATTGAGTTCTCCTGGAGATCAGGATATGGTTAGACTCTATGAAGATCTTAGAGGAAGTAGGGCTTGCTTGTTTTTCTTTACTCTTTGTGGTGAGTCGACTGTGTGTGTGTGTGTGTGTAGTGAACAGAAGTCATCTTTTGATTGCTGGTAATATTCTGGTACCATTTGCTTTAAAACTGCTCTTTAAGGGCATCATCTAATATTTGAAAGCCTTGGTATCTTAAGGAGAATTTGTTTGACTTTATTTTATGCCTGTATTTTTCCCATTAAGTCGCTGATGTTCATAAAAACTGTCAATAGGAATGGGAAACTAGGCTTCACTGATGCAGCCATCAAAGCAGGTGAATTAGACTCTTTAAATACCCAAATGAGTGAAGATTCATCTGGAGAAATCCTATGGACTTCAGTCATGGATCTGTGTATCTGGCAGTGGGATTGTGAAGCGAATTCACTTAAGGCATTGAACCACAGTTCTATTCTGTTTTGGCTGCTTAATTGTCTTGTGCTTGTTTGGGTGTGGCTTGCCTGTGATTATTTCAGCAGCCTGTAATTCAGGTGTCTCCTGTTACTTACAGTGAAAAAGCCTGGGCCATCATTTAAAATTGAGTGTGTTAAATAAGATTTGTATTTCTAGGGAGATTTATTTAAATTAATTTTCAGCACAGATGTGAGGTTTTATGGAGTTGTTCTCAGTGATTACTTACAATAGGTGTCAATGTTTGAATTTGGGAAACTAGTTAATCTGCTCTCCATTCTTGGATTTTCTTTTATACAGTTGATAGTTTTCTTAGGGAGGGGCGGAAGAGATGCTGCTGTGTAGGGGAAGCCATACTTCTAACTGCCATTCCTGCCATCCTGCCAAGGGACGTGGACGGTTAATGTTTCTCACTGGTAGCATCATCTATCTTTAAAGATCACAGGCGATGCCTTGTGTGGCTTACTGAAATGTGGCCTGTCCTGGACGGTCCTGCTTTGGGAACTGTTGGGAA